CCGGGTCTGGGGCCGCCTGGTCTCTCCAGCACCGCGGCTGTGGCTCAGACGGGCTGGATGAGAAGAGATCCCCGTGCACGGCATTTCCCTGGACTTTCTCCTCCGGCCACGCTCTCGCCGGGCTCCTGGATGCATCTTTTCCGGGCTTCCAGCTAAAGTGTTCCCGGCGCGATGACTAAAGGAGCCTGCATTGACCACCGCTCCTCTTCCAACTCCGATCGCCGCCTGCTTACAGATCTCCCTCCCTCCTTTCCTTCCTCCCCCCCCCCCGCCGGCATTTTTTGATCTTTCGTCCTCTGCCTCTTGAACTCGAGCGCCGAAGTGATCCAGACGGCCGCCTAATCGCCTTACCTTCGCGGCCCAGCCACCCACCCCCTCAATCCATCCTAGGTAGCTTGTCGTCGGCGCGGAGCGGTTATAACTGTGCGCGGGGGGGGGGGGAGACGACGACAACGACTTACTTTCTTAAGCAAGATCAAAGCCGGAGTTAACTTCCGAAATTTAAATAGGCATTTCCCAGTGGACCGCCTGCGTCTCGGTCCCACCGAAAATCAGGCGGCCGGGTGATTTTTTTGTTGCTGCTTCCGATAGCTAATAAATAAACTCTCTTTAAAAAACAACAACACATACATACACATCAGTTCTTGTAAAAGAACGTATCATCACCCAGCCTTGCCTTTGGTTTAAAAAAATAATATGATGTATTATTTTTTTAAAAAATTCTATATGAAGGCTTGGACTTGAAATGTGCATATTTTTGGGCACACCTCTCACTCAAAGTGTTCTGGAACCCATCGACATTTATTGCTTTAAGAACACTTCACTCTCCGTTGGATTGCGGCCCCTTTTTATTTTGCCCTTTATAAAAAAAATACATGAATAAATGTTTTTATCCTATGCCAGCCCTCTCAATAATGCTGCAGCCTGAAGCAAATATTTCCAAGTTGATGAAACCTGGCTCTTGCAGAAGAACCAATTTAGTGACTTTGACAGAACTTCTCCCGAGTAAGTGATTTGTAGATTGCAGCC